TCTGGCTGTGAGCTCTGGCACCTGACCGCAGGTGGAGCTAGCTGCTCGGGAGGATGTGATTTTTTTTTTTTGTCATTTCGGTAAACACTCCACACCAGTTGGTGGCGGTAATGCACCATTTTGCTGTTTGCCAACCGCCAACAAACCACATACAGAAGAAGAAGAAAAAGAAGCTAAAGTCTGTCCAAACACAGACTTTAGTTTCTTTTTCTTCACAGGTGAGTTCAGTCGCGACAGGATCAGGATCCGCTTCCTGTCCACTGCCAGCTGAACTCACCTGTGCAGAGAAACACTCACCTGTCTCCGTGTCCGCGAGCTGCCTGCCTCCTCGAATTCTAAGGAGCTTCAGCCGTGAAGAGGAAGTCTCTTTCAAAATAAAAGCACCGCTCTCTCCTCTGCATGATCAGGATACACGCGTGCAACCATCCCACAGTGAATGTGGAATATCCTCCCGAACCTTCCTTGGGTAACATACATGTGTAATTATACACGTGTGATGTGTCCTGTAGATGTGATGGTCCCAGTGCATCAGGGTTATTGCTATTAAAAACACAACACCCCCTCTAACCTACCGGAAGTGACGTGTTTCCTACCCAGACACGAAGTAAGCGTTTAACTTTAGCAACATGAAAAGTCAAGCACATAGTATTTAAACCAAGTCAGAAGAATGTGAGGTGCGTTTTTCAAAATAAAACCTCAGTCCGTGAGCACGTAGAAAAAGGAGCCTGCGCTGTTGGTCCCGCTGCAGCAGTGCTGGCTGTACTACAGAGCTTCCTCACCTCTCTTCTTACACCACAGACTGTCTGGCTCAGTTCAGCTGTATTTGTCTGCTGCACAGTAAGAATCAGCTGACTGAGATTTATCTCTGTTTGACTTTGTAATGACAAAATCAAATCTCTCCATCAAACATTTAAACTGAGGTTGGTTTCCGTCTAAACAAAGAGCCCACAGCACTGATAATATAATCCCTCTGTTATGGAGGGACAAACAGTTTTTATTCCAAAATACTTCAAATAACTAAAGCAGTCCCGACTTTAATGATCCCCTCCTGTTCTACCTGTGCAGGTCTTGTGGAGGGGCCACTCCCATCACTGTGCCCCCTCAGCTGAGCCCTACTCACCTGGAAGTTAAATGCAGTCGTATGATTTGGTCATGAACATGTTAAATGCTCAGACTCTGTGCACCAATCACAGCAGCATGAGCAGCACACCTGTGTGAGTCACACAGGTGTGCTGCTCATCATCAGCTCGCGAGGCTTACTGTGAGCGTCCTGTGAGTTACTAGTTATGATGGTCTCACAGACTGTTTATGAATATGGAGGCTGTAAAAGTGCAGCAATAATCTGCTTTAAATAAACTTTATTTGAATGAAACAGCAGAGTGAGCTGAGTCTAAAGGACCGTCAGAGTTTAGTCCATATACCAGTACTTCCAGTATGACTTGTTTCTCCTTCGTGTTGCTCTTCTTCCTGTTTCCATGGTCTATTGTTCAAACGTGCAGGTCTGAGTCAGGCAGAGAAAGTGAAACAATCAGACATGTGTCACTTCCTGTTGGTGGCAGTGAGGAGTTTTCTTCAGTCGCTGGCTTCTGCGTGCAGCATTGAAGGTTCTTTAACAGAGTTTGATCAGGTTCACCGTCAGACTGAAGCTGCTCGTCTTCCTGGACTCAAGTTAAACCGTCTCTTCTTTAACTCAGCGTCTCGTCTCCTGACGAGTCTGAACACCGAAGCAGGTTTGATCCTGTCAGAAACGTCTCTGTTTTCTGATGAAACTCCATTTCCCAGCAGCCCTGGTTCAGAGCGTGTCCTGGAGCTGCAGTGACCTCAGTGAACAGGTGAGTGCGACTGTGTGATGATCATGAAGTGTTTTGTGCCTCTGTCACGTCTGATTGTTGTTCTTTCACTTACTGAGAATGATCAGAGGCTTCCAGTCTGAAACATCTCCACAGCGCCACCTGCTGCTCACAGCTTGATAAATATGTTGTGTAAAACAGCGACGCAGACAAGCCTGCACAGCTCCGCCCACAGTGATGAGTGAACCTGACCGTCAGTGATGTGATCGTTATGTTTGAGAGAAATAAAATGTCCTGTAAAAACAAACAGGGAGGCTGAGCTGATACGACTGAATGATCTCAGTCTTTCTTCTTTTCTCTCATCTATGTGCCAGTAATTATTCAAATAAGGAAACATTTATTACTTCATAGTTTTTCTTCCCACCATCTCATTCTTTCAGTCACTACCCAAAGCTCAGGACCACAGGAAGGCTGTAGATCACTTTATGCTCCCCACCTGCAAAAAGTAGAGACGAGACTCTGAGGCCCCCAAAGTGAAGCCGCTTGGCTCCACCCAGAATCTCTTTTCATTAAAGTTATGAACAGGATCAGGGACGGAGGCTTTGTGGAGTCCATCCACCAGAAAAACCAGGTCTGACATTGATGCAGACAGTGCTCTCAAACTGGTTGCACTGGGACTGAATGGCTCGTAATAATGGGCCAGGCAGCCCCTCCTGAAGCACCTCCCACAGGCTGCTCCTACTATCACGGTAAGGTGGAGATTGATGGAGGAGTACTTTGAGCTTTATTCATATTAAATGTTGTTGGTCTTTGTTGCTGTTTGCAGAAACCTCACAGTCACACTGAATATAAACTGGACGTCAGCCTCTGACTGAAGAGCATCACTGCATCACATCCAGGATCACACAGACCTACACTCTTCAGACCATCTTTGTTTGCTGTGAAGACGTGAACATGGCTCAGCGAGGACTTCAGCTGGATCATGAGAGGTTCTGCTGTCCAGTCTGTCTGGATCTGCTGGAGGATCCAGCCACTCTGCCCTGTGGGCACAGTTACTGCATGTGCTGTATTAAGAAACACTGGGATGAAGAGAGTGAGGGAGGAATCCCCAGCTGTCCTCAGTGCAGACAGACCTTCATACCCAAACCAGTCCTGCGGAAAAACACCATGTTAGCAGACTTAGTGGAGGAGCTGAAGAAGACCGGACTCCAGGCTGCTCCTCATCCTCAGCACTATGCTGGACCTGGAGATGTGGCCTGTGATGTGTGCAGTGGGAGGAAGCTGAAAGCCTCCAGGTCCTGTCTGCAGTGTGTGGCCTCCTACTGTGAGCTCCACCTCCGGCCTCACCACGAAGCCCCCATTTTTCACAAACACCAGCTGGTGGAGGCCTCGGCAGAGCTCCAGGAGATCATCTGCTCCGTTCACAGCAAAGTGAAGGAGGTGTTCTGTCGCAGCGATCAGCAGTGCATCTGTCTCCTCTGTGCTATGGATGCACACCGAGGCCACGACACAGTGTCAGCTGCAGCAGAGAGGACCGAGAGGCAGAGCGCGCTTGGGCCGATGAGGCTCGACATCCAGCGGAGGATCCAGGACGCACAGAGAGACGTGGAGCTGCTTCAGCAGCAGGTGGAGGCCATCGATTGCTCTGCCGACGAAGCCCTGAAGGACAGTCGGACCCGGTTGAGCCAGCTGCTCCGACTGGTGGAGGAAGAAAGCTGCGAGGTGCAGCAGCAGATCAGATCCCAGCAGCAAACTGAAGTGAGTCGAGTCAAAGAGCTGGAGAAGAAGCTGCAGCAGGAGATCGGTGAGCTGAGGAGGAGAGATGTGGAGCTGGAGCAGCTCTCACGCACAGAGGAGCACAGCCAGTTTCTCCTCAGGCACTCCTCGCTGTCAGCCCTCAGTGAACCCACACGCTCAGCCAGCATCAGTGTCCGTCCTCCCTGCTGCTTCCTGGAGGTGACGGCAGCTGTTTCTGAGCTCGCAGACAAAATCCAAAGCATCCTGCGTCAGGACCACACCCAGATCTCAGCCGGGACCAGAGCAGAGTTACTCCGAGACTCCTGGCTCCTCGGTGTGGATCCAAACACAGTGAGCGTGGGGCTGAAGATCACAGAGGGGAACAGGAAGCTAACGTTTGTGGGTAGAAAACAGTCCTACCCTCATCATCGTCACAGATTCACCGACAGCTTCCAGGCTTTGAGCACACAGAGTATGACCGTTCGCTCTTACTGGGAGGTGAAGTGGAGCGGGGCCATTTCAGTGGCGGTCGCATACGGGAGCGTGAGCCGAACAGGAAGTGACAGCAGTTTTGGAGATGACCACAAGTCCTGGGCGTTGTACTGTGACAGGAACGGTTACAAAGCGAGACATGACGGAGTAAGCGCGTTCCTGTCGGGGCCTCCGTCCTCCGTGGTCGGAGTGCACCTGGATCACGGTGCAGGTGTCCTGTCCTTCTACAGCGTCTGTGACACCGTCACCCTCCTCCACAGAGTCCAGACCACGTTCACGGAGCCCCTACACGCTGGACTCTGTGTGTGCTTGGGATCCACTGCTGAGCTGCTCCAGCCCAATCAGAGCGAGTAGCAACACCTGCTGATGTTTGGGCGGGGCTACCTGTGATTGTCAGGTGGTTAGCCAATGAGTGTGTAGCATTGTAGTTCTTAATAAAGCAGTAATCTGATCTTCAGTGAATCAGGTTTCCTCACATGCTTTCATGTCAGGATGTTTCTGCTGTGTTTATGCATGATGCACTTTCATATTTAGAGACGTGAAAACACAAGTTCCTCTCTGAGCAGAGGGTTAATTCCACCTTAAATTAACCCTCTGCTCCACGTGTGATCTGCACAATCATTTGGTTTAATGGTTGAACAGATGTAATGAAATTTTAGACTTGAAATACACTTTAAAGTCCATCTACAGGAATCTGAGGCTGTGCTTGAACAACAACATCTCAAAAACCGATGAAATCTTCATATGTTCACTCGTCTTTCTTACCATTAAAATGAATCAAGATCTGTAATTTAGGGCAGATACATTAAAATAAGATGGGTACTGGCTGTGTCTGTGATGGTGCTCAGTTATTCAGGTCATGGTGATCGAAGGAGCTCTGAAAGAAAAGCATCTGGACTCTTTAAGTCTCTTGAAGACGTTTCATCTGAGAAGCTTCTTCAGTTCTAAGAACAACTGGTGGAAAGTCCCAGATTTAAGTAAGAAGTAAAGTTTAGTTATTAAGCGCTTTTCACAGACAGGCAGTCACAAAGCGAATGAACAGTACAATTATACACAATGTAAAAGGCTTAAATGTAAATTAGAAACGTGAAGAATATAAAATCCGTAGATCCAACACGTTCTCACTCTCAACTCGTCAAACGTGTGACGCATGGTCAGGCTCCCTCTGCGTCACTTATCCACGTGCAGGGTCCTCTCATTGGATACTATAGAGCTCCCTAAACGTTGCTTATTGACGACAAGAGATTGAAGAGCCTGTTGTCCGTATATTTATACATTTCCAAAATCACATTGTAGTGACGTGTACTGAACACAATAAATTATATAATTAAACAACTACCCGAGAAACAGCAGATAAATTAATTATAGGCTGTTACTTTTGTATCGTTTATTGCATTTATGGGGGGAGTGGTGTATGCTGGGTAATGGCACTGTGGGGCCCCGTACTGCAGACGACCCTGCCCGACACGCAGCCCTGAGTCCTCACAGACTGTGGTCGGTCGGTGAGGTAGTCCAGGATCCATGTAGTGAGGTGATGGTCCACTCCAGAGTTCTCCAGCTTGTCCTTCAGGACTGTGGGCAGAATGGTGTTGGAGTCACTGGAGAAATCAAAGAACATGATTCTCACAGTGCTCCCAGCGCTGTCCAGGTGAGCGAGGGAGCGATGCAGGACGTGGATGACGGCATCATCCGCTCCAATTCTACGAGACATGCTGTGTAAGTAGATACAAACAACCACAGTTTGGTCTGCAGTTATTCAAAGATCCCACAGACTTAGTTTAGAGGATCCAAACTATCTGCACTGTTTATAGTCAATTCTGCAAGTTTTTGAACAATGAAATTTGTTTTGTGCCCAAATTATTCTGCAGATCGTCAGAATGAAAAGTTCTTGGCCATGTTTGAGTTGCTATCATGACATTACTGTGTGTTAGGTTGTGGGATATCCAGACTCACAAGCGGGACACTGAATGTCACCTCTCCAATGTTTTGATCTGCATGTTTGATTCGGATGCCCCCCCGACATCCGGCACTGAGAGTAGGCTGGCTCGTGGTGCCGCTGTGGCTGGGTTAGGTTACAGCCCATCAGGACATTCAGTGTTCGCTAAATAATTACTGAGACATTTAAATGCTCAAAATCTGCTGCAAAAACAGTTTTTACTGAATAAAAACTGATCTGAGAGTGAATCTGTGGCCATCTGGGTGACTGAGGCTGCGTTCACACTGCAGGCGAAAGCGCATCAAATCCGATTTTTATGCGACCCATCGATCCGATCATGGTGTGACAGTGTGAACGGCACAAATCTGCAACTCACTCCGGCAAGAATGTAGCTGTGTAAAGTTCAAGTATCTGCTCGATTTATCAAGACATCACATATTTGCAAAAATGCTCCGACATTTTCGGAGACGTCCATTTTTTTCATGCTTTGTGGCAGCTGTTGAACATCTGTGGCATCTATTAATGTCAAATATAGCCTTTATTTACCAACATAAGCAAACTCTATGTTACAATGATTGCACAGCCATTAAGGATCAAATCAGTTTCAGTTTTTTCTCCCTCTGCTTGCTTCTTACTGTCTTTGAGGCTCGGGACCAGCAGAAGGACATCAGTAAGTATTTTGGTTTTCCAATATATTAGCAACTGTCAGTGACATTTATATTAGTCAGGCTGGACTTTAATCATACTTTAGATCAGCCTGTTTTACTTATTGTTTTATTTGTGCTTTGGTTTGGGGAAGTTGTTTCTTCACTGATCTTTTCCTGTCTTCTGTTATTAGACTTGAGATATGACTGCACGATGCTGTTGCTGGTGACTCCAGTTAATTATACAAGACACGATGTGTAAGTAAACAAACAACAACAGTTTGGTCTTTCTTGAAAGATCACATCCCCCAAACTTAGTTTAGAGGGTCTACACTGTATATAGTGAAGTCTGCAACCCACATCCACTGCCACTGTACTGAAGGGAGGTTAAAGACTTTCTTCTGCACTTACATTTGGATCACCTCGATCCATGACAGTCATTCAGCAGTAATGCCTGGACTGGAAACAAGCATCCTTAAAACATTACAACATTCCAGCTGCTGTGTTGGAATGAAAAACAAATGTGTTGTTTAAATCAGAGACTGCACTTGTGACAGAACAACAAATGTTTTATTTGATTATATAAGTAAGTACAAAACGAACTTGTGGTAGACCTAAACTTATTTTCAGAATAATTACATCTGAGACTTTGTTTCATTGTAAGATTATAACAGTGATGGAAATATAACTGTTTGTTGCTCAGCAGAACAGTGTCCAGTATGTTGGCTGTTGTACTTTGTTGTGTTTGAAAATAAAAGTTGGGCTGATTTTAACATCATTACAAAAAGTGTTGTTAATTATTTTTAGTCACATTCAGGTTACCACAAATTGTTTTTAATTTAGTTGAACTTGAAATGTTTGTCAGTAGGTAAACAATTAGTGTTGTAGAGTCAGAAATATCAAGTTATTCTTAATACTGCAGACTTGCAATGATGGCTGTTGTTCTAACAGTCGTCTTAAGTAAACTTTACTGAGTTGTTTTGAGGCAACGAGTTTCCATAATTTTTTTGAGTTCTGGGAACTAATCAGATTTTACAGTGTGGGGACTTTAACCACACCTCCCTGTCCTCCACTCTCCCCACCTTCACACAGTATGTCACCTGCCACAGCCGAGACAATAAAGCATTGGACTGATTGTATGCTAACACCAAGGAGGCATACAGCTCATCACCTCTGCCTCCTGTGGGGGGCTCAGATCACAACCTTCCGGAGACGCAGACCCACCACACTGACACCGGTGAACATCCAGGGAGTGGACATTGAGATAGTGGACTCTTATAGGTACCTGGGTGTTCACCTGAATAATAAACTGGACTGGAGCCACAACACTGATGCTGTTTACAGGAAGGGTCAGAGCAGACGCTACCTGCTGAGGCGGCTGAGGTCATGTGGAGTCCAGGGAGCGCTTTTAAAGACTTCTATGACTCTGTGGTGTGTTACGAGTTCAAAATATTGGGGATGGACACCATAGGAAAAACCCACAATAACAACACTGGTCCGGTCGGGTTGAGTCAAACGATGATTTAATGATCACACACGTGGGAGATGGA